TTTATGTGTAGCAGTACAGATTTTGGCTTCTCGCATGAGGTGGATGGTGTCACGGTCAGAATGAAAAGAATTTATGATGGCATAACTTGAACACTCCCAACAGTAATACTATTCACTTATGGTCAAAATTTAAGGTCTTGTGAAAACCAAATACAAATTCTTAAATGAACATTTTAGTGCTAAACACTGTCCTGATATACTTGTAATTTTCTGTTTTCTATTTTTATTGTTTACTTCGCTGTAGATTTGTAACTCTTTATCATGTTCCATCAGTGTAGTAGAAGAATATCATTGTTTAAAATTTGGGTTAAGTTGATCCTTTGTGTTATCGCATTGATTCTTATTTTTTGTGTTATTTTTTATTTTATAGAAACGAGCCACCAGCTGAAGGTCTATCATGGGTATTTGGCTAGTTCTTATCATACAGGGATTCTTTCTGGGTTAATGTTGATTTCATCTTATTTAGAAAGCATGGCGTCAACTCAAAAATCGGTAAGCACTATAAATTCTGACTAGCATTCAGCCAAGGCCTTGCTTGGTGGTAAAAGGAATGGATCAGCTTCTAGTAGCTTTATGCTCCAAATTTGGATAAAATGAAACAAGAACTAAACTTTTAGTTTCAATTGTAGTTTTCTCCTTAGTTCTTTCTTACTTCTAAGAATTAAACATTTAGAAGAAATCTAAATAATAGGGGGGAACTCATAGAGTTTGCTAGTTTGTTGTATCGGATTACGAATACTTCTGAATGTTCCATGCGGTCTGCCAAAAGAGTTAGTCTAGTCATGCCACATGATCCTGTTTTTGTTTCTTATAATAAAATTTTTAGGATTGTTGTACCTATTTAAGTTCAAATTCTCACTAGTGGCTTGTGGTAAAATGAATCAAAAGGTCCTATATTCCTTTTCTCCTAGTTGGTGCGCACAGTTAATGTTTAGGGTAGATCGGCTTAGAATATTATTTTACACTGTTCATCTCATTTGTGAGTGGACAATTGCTTGTTTTTTATGTGGAGTGGGTTGCTCCAAGAAAGTGCTATTTCTTGTTGTGTGAGGTCTTCCTAGGCATTAGAACAAGAGGTTACCCATTTGCAATTGTGCAGTTTTGGCTTCTATTTGGACCCTGTAGAATTCTTGTCTAATCTGTTTAGGGGATTTCTTTTTGTTGTTCTTCTTCTTGTTATTGTGTTTGTAGTTGGCCTGAATAAAAAATATCAATCATGTTCTGACTGTAAAAATGTTTATATATGGTGTTGGGCTTTATTTATGAAGGGAACTTTTTATGTGCGAAAAATTGACCTGTCCAAGCTCAGCTGTCCAATTTCCCTGTTCATCTATTAATGGCTGCATATTCATTTGTCTGCACTAATGTAAAATATTTGAATTTTCTTGTCATTCCTTTTGTGACATTGATGGTTCTTTTGTTTCACACTACTAATGCTTTCTCAGGTCAAAGCAGTTGTAATTGGTCTTGGAGCAGGTTTACTCCCTATGTTCCTTCATAGATGTATGCCCTTTATGCACACTGAGGTAATTTAGGCTTAAGCCATCTCCCAGAAAAAAGAAAAGAAATAAAAGAAGATGAGTTTCCTTAATAAAATCATTTAGTGGAATGTGGTACTTAATCATTATATTTACAGGTGGTGGAGTTGGATCCTGTAGTCCTCAAACTTGCAAAAGAATACTTCAGTTTTGTTGAAGATGATCACTTGCAGGTAGTTCACTATACTTCATGTTTGCTTCTTTTCATACTATAAAATTATGCAAACAGAAATTCCAAGTTCTTCATTCCTACATAGCAAACTAGTGGCACCTCTAGCAAGAAACGTAATTTATCCCTTTGATTGCAGTAGGGCTGAGTGGAGTTGAGTATGGTTCTTTGGCTACAATTATAATCTCTTAAGAAAAAGAATACATGCAACTCTGTGTTCCAAGTTGCCAAAAAATTTGAGTAAAGAAGCACAAAGTGTCTTAGTATACTCAGTTCTTATGTGTCAGTGTCTATTGATGTGGTATGATTTTTTCTTTGCCCCTTGTCTCTGTCTGGTTAATGTGCTTTAGTCTACTAGTTGGCAGTTGGCATTGCAATTTTCATGTTAACCTCATATACCAAATCCTTTATTTCTTCCACTTGCATTTTCTAGTTATATGCAAATATCTTCTCACTCTGTAGCCCTAAGATGCCACCTTTAAATTAGGGGCTACAATGGCATTGCGAAAAATGATATTTTACTTTCCCGTCTTTGTTAGGTTGAAGGATAACTTTATAAAGTTTTGATCTGATAATTTACTAGAATGGTTTACTTTCCTTCGTTGGTCATGAAAACAGAGGCTGAATTTAGTGGTTTTTGTTTGTTTGTTTTGGAGTGCACGTTGAAGAGGACCTTAGATGTAAACAAAGCTCCTGGATATAAACATAAGCTATAAATGAGATTGTACTTACCTTCAGATCCTTCTCATCCTGAATTTGTAATGTATTCAATATTTATCACATTTTAGATTTGTTTTGGTGTATCAGGTGCACATTGCTGATGGTATTCAGTTTGTTAGAAATGTTGCAAATTCTGCTGCAGCTGATGAAATTTCTGCAGTTCAAGAGAAGGAAGGTGCTCACTGCTATACAGAGCCCACTTCTTCCAATAGGAGCTGCTTAGAATCACATGTTGAAGGCAAGGTGCCTTCGAAGGTTGACATAGTTATTATTGATGTGGATTCTGCAGACTCAAGGTGAATGCAGACTGCACCTAGTTTACAAGTATATTGATCAATATAAGAAGCAATACAGATTTTAAAGACTGGGCCCTCATATTCTAATAAGTTATTTGTTTATTTTTGTGTACAGCTCTGGGATGACCTGTCCTGCAGCAGATTTTGTGCAGGAGACATTTCTTCAGACTGTAAAGGATGCACTTTCTGGGAAAGGTCTATTTATTATTAATTTGGTGTCACGGTCACAAGCCATTAAAGACACTGTTATTTCAAGGATGAAAGTGGTGAGAATAGGAAATTAATGTTCATTATTGTTCATATATAAATTCTGTTATATGTTATCTCCAGGATATTTGTCTAACAGACCCATCTATGCTTTAAATCTCCTTTTTACAGTCACTTGAATGAAAAATGTGCAGTATGTGGGATTAGGATGGTGGTAAAAAGGATGGGTGCTGTTGTTAGTCTTGAGTAGGTTTTTTTTGGTCATTAGTCATATGTTGCTAAGCTGAACTTTGTTTACCTTTCAGTGACTGGTATTCAAATACCATATTGGCAAGTCCATTCACACAATTGCAGCAATATATAAATGCACATGTACTCACACATGTGTGTACAATTTGAAAATAAAATCAAGACTTTGCTTTCACAATTATCAGTTTAGAATTGTCTACTAGAGTGTGACAAGTTAATGCAGCGTGTGAAGACATGTAATATTCTCATATGTCCTCCTCTGCTAAAAAATTTGGTTGGAATGCTCTGTTAGTAAATTTTGTTTTTCCTTCTGTCCTGTTAGATTGTTTGCATAGTATTGTGCTTGGTACTCTTGCACACCCGTATGGAAAATCATATGGCAGTAGTTCTGATTTGCAATTTAATCTCTCTTCAGGTGTTTAGCCATCTTTTCTGCCTACAGCTTGAAGAAGACGTCAATGAAGTTATTTTTGGTCTTTGTTCAGCTTCTTGTATCAAGGAGGATAGCTTCCCTGAAGCCGCTCTTCAACTTGAGAAACTGTTAAAATTGGAACACCCAGAGATAAGCCAAAGCATTATAAATACGACAAAGAAGTTGAGACAGTTGAAGTGACTCCGGTTGATTGAAGTAGTGTCCCTTTGAAATCTTTTTTGAGAGGTGATGCCCTATTTATCTGTGAGAGCAGCCTTCAGATACAATCATACAAGTGATGGGCACATGCAACACAACCACTTTTCAGAAAGGTGCTCAAGTGCATATTTGCTAGAATGTCCTCTGGATCTGTGGATAGTTTCTCTTCTTCAGCTATTTGAATGCTTGTTCGGGTTACTTTGCCCTCAAGATCTTACCGAGAAGGCCGTGTATGCCTTTATGAAAGTTGCAAACCTATATAGAAAATCTGGTTATAAAGACACGACTGGTTCAATGAAATCTGCCCTATACTTATCTCGAACTACTCGATTTGTAACATGTAGGATTAGTTTTAATGAGTCCTAAAGATCGCACCATTGTGGCTACGTATTTGTTTTTATTCCCTTAATTTAAAGCCTGTATACAGTGTAATCTTATTTTTGATACATCCTATAACAGATTTGGAGAAATAGTCTTCATTCTTGTGGTCTCAAGTTTCTTTACATACAAACTTTGATCTCTTCTCATACCCCTGCACTTTTTGTTATGCCCCTCTTAGGCACAATCAATTTCCATACTGTGAAAGAACTTCAATTTCTTAACTGACTAATACCAATATACAAAATTGTAAAGTGATTCTTAGGTGGTGGACAAGGAATAACTAAATTGGCACTTTCCCATTAATAAACTATTCTTTTGAAAATAGAAAACCAACATGAAATAGCTAGCTAGAAGTTTGAGACATACTTTGACAGCTAGTTGTTATCGTGAAAAACTTTTGTGTTTCTTACCCAGTTTTAAAGCATGCAGTTAAAGTATAATTAAGAAAAATAAAGAAGTGTGTTTTGTCGATGCCAGCGTCAACATGTTTTGTTCTCCGAGGATTTGATAGGACAAAAGAATGACTTGAGGGAGAAGAAAAATAGGTTAAATTAACCAGAATGGCGATGGAGTAGTAATCCAGTACAGTGCTTGATCCGCTACACTTTCCAAGATTGTGAAGCTTTCTTGTATTTTCTTTGACTATTCTTTTCTAGTGACAACGTAAATAAAGGGCAAAGAATTGAAGACGAAATAAGTATCTTAAGCAAATTTTGATTTGGTATTTATCCTTTATTTATTTATTTATTACACTTTATATATAGCAGTATATATATGCTGCCTAACTAGAGAAGAGACAGCGCCCAACCATGGCTTCATATGAGGAAGTAGATAGCTTGTTCGAAAATGCCATGAAAGGCCAGTGGGGAAAGGTGGTGGAGGCCTACAGAAATTGTTCCAAGGCTCGAGAGGCCAACATAACCAAATCAAAAGAGACTGCTCTACACATAGCAATTGCAGATGGCCAAACAGAAACCGCACTGGACTTGTTGAACATCATTGCCAATGGAGAAAATGCCTTAAACATATTGAAAATAGGAAATGAGAAAGGCAACACAGCTCTCCATCTAGCTGCTAGGCTTGGCTATGCCCAAGTGTGTCAAAGCATGGTTACCAAAGATGGCAGCCTTGTCTCCCTTCGCAACGTCGACGGTGAGACCCCTCTCTTCTTGGCAGCTCGTAATGGCCAGACTAAGGCTTTCCTTTGCCTTCACTCTCACTGCCAAGAAAAATACCATTCCTTTAGAGACAATCATGGTGATACCATTCTCCATGCTGCTATCTCTGGTGAATACTTCAGTAAGTGCAGGCTATCTATCTTCTTCTTCTTCTTTTTTATATTTTATTTTTTTGGTTTTAATTTCCCCACGTAATTAGTACATAATTTTAGATTAATGAAAATAATGCCACTTTTAATTCCTTATTTTTATTTTGGTTAGGTTTGGCATTTCAGATTATTCGGTTGTACCCGGAACTTGTTAACTCTATGAATGAAAATGGTTTCTCTCCCCTGCATATTCTGGCCAGTAAGTCTAGTGCATTCAAAAGCAGTAGTCGCCTCGGACTGACTGGTCATATTATATACCATTGTAAGAATTTCTACCTCACCAATTTGATTTTATACTCAATTCAAATGTCTACATGTTCAACTGATGATTCAACACATGCATTTGCAGTTTCATGTTCACAAATAACTAAAGAACACATAAAAGTGTAGCCATCATATTTATATGTTGCATTTTTACTATTATTAGGTATTATAAGAAGACATTACTCCATCTTTTTTGTTCATCATTTTCAATTCTCAGATTTAACAAGAACTCTTCAATTTTGTTTTGTCAGGTTTGATTGTTGAAGAGCTCAAAGAGGAATCATACAAATACGAAGCTTGTCTGCACAACGAAGGAGCACAAAACAATTCTAAATATCCAGAAAACTATGAAACGTGCATGAACTTCGCTCGAGTTCTGAGGAGTTTCTTTCAAGTGTTAAGTAAGTGAATCTTGTGAAATTTATATGTTGTATTTTCTTCCCCAAACCTTTGTACCACAAGTCTAATTTAGTTTCTTGATTTCCAGCAAACACACGGGGAAACCAGAATTGGAAGCTTTGCTCACTCCTTCGAGCTAATGGAGGAAATAAAACTGGCAAAAATGCTGCTGATGACGAAGAGAATCCCCAACAACGGAGCAGCTCAGTGATAAGTAATCCTCATAACCTTTTATGGGAAATATTTAGTCGAAATATCACTTATCAGATTCCATTGTGGAAGACACAATTTTTTCTGCAGGTGATAAATTAATCACTGAGTCTTGCCTTGGCGACGTTCCCTGAAAAAAAATAAGTAAATTAATTTTTAACATGAAAGAAAGAAAAACCAACCTGATGATGAAGTTGAACAGTTTGTACATTATAGTTGAAGTTTGAAGATGATTAAGTTAAAGATTCAGTTCATTAAATAGCCCAACTATTGCAGAGGCCAGTCCAGAAGCATCCTCTTCTGCAATGAGATTACAATCAAAAGAAGTATCAGATGCAAAGAGTTCAAGATCAACTGATGGTAAAATTCCCTACAATTAAAAGAAGTCAAAAGAAAAAGAAAAAAGAAAAAGAAAAAGAAAAAAGATAGATAGATAAATAACCTTCATGACAAAGACTAACATTAACCTTACTAAATGTAAAAGACCTGTTTGTTTGGATTTAAAACTCAAGTCAAATGTGATATATTTCTGACTGGAGCTACTGCAGCAGGAGGCACTTCAGGATTATCTTCGTCAGTGAAGAAGTCGGAATCAAAAGGTGCCATGTAAATTTTTTTATTTCCAAACATTACGGCGAATTAATCTCTGAAATTGTATTATTTTGGGCAGAACAAATATTCCTTAATGAAGAAACATGGTCACTGTTAACTTGTTGAGGTAGTCAATATGTTTTAAGAATTTGTTGCTTCATAACTCCATGACATTTTCTTCTAGGACAATAAATCAAGAAAAAAAGGTCTTGCTAGTTCTGAACTTCTAGAGTTATGAATATAGGGGATTACTGTTCTTTTGTTTTTTTGTTTTTTAATTATTTTTATTATTATTATTATTTTATTTTTTATAATTTCATCATCTGATGACATTTTAGGCATCTCAATTGTTCTGAGTAGATTTTACTTTAGCATTATTTTTTTCTGCCTCTTTGCAGGTACAAACCAACCACATGAACAGGGGGGAAGAAATTATTCGTATCCGCCCAATTACGCCTCACTAATTCTATTGTTCAAGCTTATGATGAAGGCCATGCTAATTATTCTGGGAATTGGTCAGTACCAAACTTAATTCATAGCCCCCGATCAATAACTAGTACAGCTTGCGTCATCTAGCTAGACACGCAAGCTTGTTTAAAACCACATCACTTCCCCTTCCAAGAACCCTTCTAAGCGAAAAAATTTAATCTCTTGGACAACAGTTGCCTCATCTCCTAATGTTCTTCTGTTGAATGACATGTAGGCATTTGGAAGATAAAGAAAATCCAAGAAAGGAAAGAGCGACATATATGGGCTAATCAGGTCATGAATGAACTGGTTCAGCATACTTCTTTATACAAGTATCAAAATACTGGACAAAATCCCCATCAACCAAACAAAGATAAAGAAGAATGTGATGTTCCTAATCCTATCTTGTTAGACCAAGCCCCGTCTTCAACAGCCGATCATGTACCATCTAAAGGTGGAAATAAAAATGTTGAAACAAATCTGTCGTCCTCAAACCAAAACAAGTATCAGATAGAGAGTGATCAGAATCAACCAGGTAAACAAATTACACCTCTCTTTTATTTTGGCCTGGTAGTTACTCATCTTCTGTGTACTGCATGCTTCATTGACATTAACAAAAGTGGGAAGGTTAAAGGGAAGAAATCAGGTATTCCTAAATACCATTGAAGTCATTTATTTTAACCGAGAAGTTTGTGCTGTATTGAAAAACAGAACAGAAATTTATTGGAGATGGACAGTAGCCTACTTGTAGGCAACTGGGATGGGTAATTAGTATGAAAATAACTATGAAATATTGTGTTATCTTTTACAAGTTTTTCACCTTCAAACATGGCTTCGAAAACCTACAGCACATGATTACAAACTTGGACTCAAAAACGGTAAAGAGAGGAAGGACAACAAACCCTTGGGAGATAAGAAGAATGGAAATTGTGAAGCAGATAAAAAGCAGACACCAATATTAATTGCAGCAAAGATGGGAGTGACAGAAATGGTAGAAACAATCCTAGACAAGTTCCCAGTGGCCATCCAGGATGTGGACTCTGATAACAAGAATGTTGTACTGTTAGCAGTTGAGAACAGGCAACCCCATGTTTACAATCTCCTGCGGAAGAGAAAGATACTAAAAGAGAGCTTGTTACGTCAGTTGGACAACCAAGGTAACAGCGCTTTACATCTTGCCGCTAGATGTGGACAGTACCGGCCTTGGCTTATTCCAGGTGCTGCATTGCAAATGCAATGGGAAATCAAGTGGTATAAGGTATGAACTATTGTTGATCTCACACTATATCAGTTTCAGCTGCACTCTTCATGTTAGTCTTCAGCTTACAAACCTCTGGCTTTACCATTACTGGCCTTTTATTTATCTTTTCGAGTTAAATTTTGAAATCAAGGTTTTGAAGTGTTTGAACATAATCTTCTAAGAGTTACTGTTATGTTGACTGGATGCGCAGTTTGTCAAAAGCTCAATGCCACATGGTTTCTTTGTTCGCTACAACAAAAAAGGCCAGACCCCAAAGGAGATCTTCATAACTTCTCACCAAAATCTTATAAAAGAAGGCAGCAAATGGCTAACTAAAACCTCGGAGTCGTGCTCTGTGGTTGCAGCTCTCATTGCAACGGTTGCATTTGCAACATCAGCAACTGTCCCAGGTGGACTTAATCAGAATACAGGTGAACCAATTCTTAAAGACGAGTCAGCATTCGGTGCCTTCACCATCTCATCACTGACTGCTCTCTGCTTCTCAGTAACTTCCCTGGTCTTCTTTCTTTCAATTCTCACTTCTAGATACGAAGAAAGAGATTTTTCAATGGAGTTGCCTCGGAAACTTTTGCTGGGTCTAACATCACTCTTCGCATCAATAGCTTCCATGTTAGTCTCATTCTGCACAGGGCATATCTTTGTCCTCAAACATCAACTGAGATATGTGGCATATCCATTGTACGCAGCGACTTGCTTGCCGGTCACCTTTTTCGCTCTTGCACAGCTGCCCCTCTACTTTGATCTCATGAGGGCCATCGTCAGAAAGGTACCACAGCGGAGCTATAAGGTCTCTCCACACTAGTTCTTCATCTGTTATGGTAACTAGGTCTAATGGGTTATGCAGTTGAAGTGATCACTTGAGTGTTAAAATTTGCTTTGTTATGTTTTGTTTTGCTTTGAGAGTGAGGTTTAATCATGTGGAATTTATTGTATGTGATCGTTGTCAGTGCGACATTAGTGTTAAGGACCCTTGAATAATGCCTTGTGACAAGGAAGTTAACTTCAATCAGAATCATAACTTGGTTAGAATTTAAATGTGAGTAACTCAAAAGCACGGGAAATTAAACTAGAATTCCAAAAACAACAGAAAGTAACTTTGAAAATGAAATCAAGCAGAGCCTAAACAATGCATCGAAACAGAAAGCAAGATGGTTGCAGAATGATTCTGCTCTGACCTTCCACAATGCAACTTGGTGAGGGTTGTAGGTGAAAATGTCAAGTCTCATACCCCTTTGGGATATTAGCTCTAACACGGAGAGCGCTTCCTCAATCCGTCTCTCCTTGCAAAAAGCTTCTATTACAGTGTTATAGGTTACAACATCTGGTGCAATTCCTTCATCCAGCATTCTATTGCACAATCTTGTGGCCTCTTTCCATTGCGCAGAATGGCAGTGTCTATTAATTAAGGAGTTGTAGGTGACGAGATCAGGCTTTACACCTCTTAAGGAGCATTTTTTCCACAAGTTTAAGTGTCTCCGCTGTTTTCCCATCTTTGCATAAAGCATCCAACAGAGAATTGAATGTAACAATATTAGGCAAGGCTCCACAATCAATCAAGTTTCTAAATAGCCGCACAGTTTCTTCCCATTTTCCAGACTTGCATGCGGCAGAAATTAAGGAAGTAAAAGTGACAACATCAGGATTTATGCCATTCTCATTCATTATTTCAAACAGAGCAAGTGCTCGATTCCAAAGACCCATGTTGCTCCATAAATTAATGAATTGTAACTGACGATATCTGGCACAACACTTCTATTGATCATATCTCAAAATAGGATCACGGCCTGGTCTACGGGTCTTTCTTTGCATAATCTGTCAATGATTGGATTATAGCATTGATTTGAGGATTGGGCTTAAGCCTCCCATCTTCATAGATGTGCTCGAGTATCTCAAGTGCAATACATGTTTTCCCAGCTCTGGCATAACAAATTAATTATATGAGCATAAGTGACTTCACTGCATGCTAATCCTTTCTCCTATATTTTCCGGAACAACTGCATTGCCTCAGAGATCGACCTATACTTGCAAACTCCATGAAGCAAAGCAGTCAAAGTTTAAGCATTGTGCTGAAGACCATGTTTAAGGTAGTTGCTAAAACAGAGAAACCCAAGTCCGCCCAGCATCTGACTTCGGCCTGTAAGCCAATACAACCCAGCATCTGTTTATACATAGAAACTACAGCGGAACACTGATTCATCTTGGAGAGCGCCCCAAACAAATGATTAATAGCCTAAATAGAGGGAATGGGTTTCATTTGAATTATGGATTTGAAGTGACCCATTGCTTCATCTAACCCAAGATTACCAGATTTACAACGAATTTCTACCAATTTCTCCAAATCAATGGTTTCCTTAGGGTTAGGATCCTATAATTGTTTGAAACCACTTCCATTCACTAATATTGCTTGGTCATACAAGTTTAGAATGCAATGACATAATTAGCAGTTAACGATTTAACAGGAATGTAACTAGTTCTAGCGGTCTCATGGGGAGCTATTCTGCAGATACAACATGCCTTTTAGGACGCAAACCTCTCAAAGCTTTTAGGGTTTCCACATCAGGCGTCACTCCTTCTTCGATCATTTCCTCAACAAGCCTCAAAGCTTCACCTATCCTTTTAGCTTGCATATAACCGTTGACCAAGGCTTTAAGAAGCAATATCAGGGACATGATGTTTTATCACCATTAAATCAATTACCTTCTTTGCCTTATTGATTTTGCCACGAAAACAATAACCATCAATTAGCATACTGCAAGTTATTTTGCTCAGCTCCATACCATATTTAACTCTGGTCTCAAGTACTTTATGAGCCTCTTCTGGCATCCTGCAGGTAAGACTCCCTGACCTACCATTTCGTCAAACAACCTTGTGGTTTCATCCCATTGATCTGTAAGGCACATGCCATAAATTAGAGAGTTGTAAGTGACAATGCCAAGCCTCATACCTCTGTGGGACATTAGCTCCAACACAGAGAGCGCTTCCTTGGTCCGTCTCTCCTTGCAAAGAGCATCTATTACAGTGTTAAAGGTTACAACATCTGGTGCAATTCCTTCATCCAGCATTCTATTGCACAACCTTGTGGCTTCTTTCCATTGCACGGAATGGCAGAGGCTATTAATTAAGGAGTTGTAGGTGACGAGATCAGGCTTTACACCTCTAAGGAACATTTCTTCCACAAGGTTTAAGTGCTTCTTCCCACTTACCAGACTTGCATGCTGCAGAAATTAAGGAAGTAAAAGTGACAACATCAGGCTTTATGCCTTTCTAATTCATATCTCGAAATAAGGTCCTGGCACCCACATCGAAAAACTATAAGAAATAAAGATTCCCCCTCACCTATAAAAGAAGACCACTCTCCACTTGGAAAAGGATCTTAGGTCTAGACCCTTGGGCCTTGGACTCTCTCTTCTGGATCCCAGGACTGGGCTGGACATCTCACTTATTGTCTTTATATTTGGGCCCAACCCCATGTACAAATATAATCCTACATTATTATAATGAGAATACTTCTCTGTGGACGTAGCCCATTCATTAAGGGTGAACCACATATATCTTGTCTTCTTTATATTTATCACTTGCTCATCGCTTGCCCAAATCTTCACACACATGCTGAAGGTCCTCACCTTCACCCATCAACCACCATTCCACCTACTCTCTAAGTTGACCTCCTAAAAAGAGCATCAACAGTTTGGCGCCGTCTGTGGGAATCGATACAAAAGACTTCGGTCGTTCTCCCATTCTTTAGTGTCCTTCGGCACTCATACAATCATCATCATTTGGTGCTTGCGCTGCCTTCGGCACCCAGCCACCACTAGACGCGAGCAATGCCTTCGGCACCCTGCCGTCATTCAGCTTGAGTGATGCCTTTTGGCACCTCATCATCATTTGGCGCGAGTGATGCCTTCGGCACCCCCGACATCATTTGGTGCGAGTGATGCCTCCGGCACCCCGCCATCACCCGGCGCGAGCGATGCCTTCGGCACCCCCGCCATCAACTGGTGCGAGCAATGTCTTCAGCATCCCCGCCATCAACCGGCACGAGCAATGTCTTCGGCACCCCCGCCATCATTTGGTGTGAGCGATGCCTTCGGCACCCCGCCATCACCCGACGCGAACGAGGCCTTCAGCACCCCGTCATTAGATGGCACGTGCAATGCCTTCGGTAGGCCTCTCTGACGTAAGCAATGACTTTGACGCCTCGCCTTGAATGCCTTGCATGGCTTGCATGGCCAAAGGAGGAAGCCATCATTTCAGCCCAAGGAACCACCTTTCAATCACGTTGGAAGAGTCTCAATTTGGCAATGGCCAAATATTCCAAATGCATGGCTTACATGTACAAGGAGGCAAGCTAATATTTCAATCCAAGGAAAGCCCATGAAACTTCCAAAAGATAAGTGAACCATACCACATCTCTTTTAAATATATTTTATTTGGAATGTTGCATGTCAAGTTTCGTTAAAATATTAGTATTGAATATTAGTACAGACCATGTGTGGTAGATGACGTTGGGCAACATTGCCCAGCCTTGAAGGGCTTTACATGCACCACCATGCACTACAACACACAGCAAGGAATATGCCAAGGACCCACAGCTGCTGCTCAGCAGCTCTTTTCTTTCAAACTCTGGGGACTTGTCCCATTATCTGTCGAAGCCATGAATACATCTGATATGGCACCAGGTGCATCACCCTTGTGCCAAAGCTCAACAAACGGACTTGTCATCTAATTCACCTTGGCGCATACTCAAGGTTGCCGAGAGGCACTCACGCCAACTCCAACGCAGCAGAGAAACTCACGTCAGAGACCCCAAAATTACTTTACGCATACACGACCTCCAAGTCGGTGGTCATGACAATATATATATATATATATGAAATTATTCTGGGCAACTGCCGCAAGCCAAGACATCATTCCTCACCAAAGAAAAAAGGAAAAAAGACCAGCCTCCATTTGTCTGAAAGCCAGTTGCCACGCTCCACTTACAGGATCTTCAACAAAAATATGGGTTGAAAAGTCAAAACACCAAATGGCACACCCCTTTTGCTCAAGCCACCAGCATTGAGAGACCACCATCTCCATGCCCAAATCACCCAAGAAACCTCGCTCTACAGCTTGCCGAACGGTAGGCAGCATCATGCCGAAACCCAGCTCCTGGGGACGACTCCGAGTTCTTGCCGAGGCCTCGACTCCAACTTACACCAAGTGATATGCAAGCCTTGCAAAACCCAAGCCCAACATGCATACCAAGGATGACAAATATTGACTGGCACGATGGCTGTGCTTTGCATGGCTTTGCATGGCTTGCGTGGCTTGAATGGATCTCGACAATACCCCAGTTGAAGGCCATATAATTCATTCCGAATTGCCGAACGGTAAGGTTGGGCATGACTCATTTTGGAGCCACCTTCTCAACGACACAAATTATTAAGCAGCAGCTCAGGTAGGGTTGACAACTCAAGGGAAGCCCACAAAAATCACAGCCCGTGCTCCAAATTGCCGCAGGTCAACAAGCCTAGGCCACGCCTGCGCTGACCAGATCAAGATCACGACCACCCACTTGCACGAGCCAAGCCCCGGTCCCTCCGATCTCCTTGCCGAAGACAAAGCAAGCTCCAAAGATACCAACCTACCTTCAAAACTGGCCCGGCTACAAAGCTCAGCTCCTAACCAAAAAAAAAAAAAAAACACATATCACAATATATCCCACTTGCTGAATGGCCCAGCCTCTCAAAAGAAGGAACAACCTCAAGCCCACCAGTCAAGGACTCAATAACGAGAGATCAAGCCATGAGCCACGCAGCCGGCTTCAAAAATCTACAAGCATCAGTGGGGTCAGCCAAC